AGATAGATAGATAGATAGATAGATAGATAGATAGATAGATGATAGAGATTAAAATGACAGTAACCAATACACATTTTTCAGTAATTTTAAATATCAATGACCTCAACTCCTCAGTCAAAATATACAGGCTAGTTGAATGGATTAAGATATAAAATCCATCTTTTTGTTGTCTGCAAGAAACTCACCTCACTTTCAAGGATAAGTACCACCTTAGGGTGAAAGGGTAGGAAAAAGTATTCCAAGAAAACAACACTAAGAAGCAAGCAGGTATTACATTTCTATCTGACAAAATAGACTTCAAATTAAAAGCAATCAGAAGAAGGCTGCATTCTTCAGTTATTATAGTAACACCTGATGCTTTCTATGCACTCAATTCATATTTTATATCAAATGGTGAAATGCTATGCTCCAAACCAATAAAGTGAAATGAATAGAGAGCTGGAAGCTCTAATCTCAGTGTCAGAAATACAAACATGAATGTTCTTTCTCTGCAAACCACAAAGTTAAAAATAACAGCTGTGGTGACACTGCATAAAAGCACAGTTTAACAAGGACCACTGGCTTCCACTTTGTCCTCCAGCTGGTGAATGCTCATTGGTTGAACAGTTATACTGGGAGAAACACTGCAGAACCCTGAACTCAGTCTGAGCCCTATGAGCTAGTTCCTAGGCCAGTCTAGAAGAGAAATTCGTCTTTAAGCAAAATAAAAGTTCATCCTGGAAACACAGGGGTGGTTTTGTCAGTTTCTAATTTGCTGAGCTGTGGCCACATAAGGAGACACCTGGACTACCCATCGCTGCTACACCATCTGTTCTCACAATGCATTTGTACCCTTCCTTCATTGTTACTTTAATTCATTTTTTCACTTAACAAGAATTTCAAATTTCAGTAAATGTAGAAATTAGTATAAACAAGTGGAATTTAAGGGCTGCTATAAAACTGCTTTCCATCAGCAATTATCATAAAATCCATTATGGAAATAAAATAATAATAAATGACAAAATATTTTCTAATGGTATAAATTTCACATCATAATCAGCATGACTTCTGAGTTCCTAGAGGTAAGGACTGGGAAGTCTTTACCTGTAGAAGGTGTGGATTGAAGGAATGAAAAGCAACAGAAAGAGTGATAGTTTTGACATTAGAAAGATACAGGCTTCGATGGTTAGCAGCCTCACCCTGGCCATGTCACACATTTCCATAAGCCTTAGGACTTCCACCAGCACCATAGACACGAAAACAGCATGTAGAGCAACCGTAAGGGCATCTCCAGGAGTGCAGCAAAGCGCGAGACCAGGTTAAAATCGTTGCTCAAACTGTCTCATTCTGTCAATTCCTTCCCTTTACAACACTTTCATTTTTTTATTTTTTGTATATTTTAATTGAATTTTTGTGTATTTTATACACAACATCTTAATCATTTTATACCTCTTGTCCCATCTGCACCTCCCATAGTCCCCCACAAGACTTCATGCATTTTGTCATTTCTATTAAGGCCTATCGAGTCAAGTTAGTGTACCTAGACATCCCTCAGTGCAATTGCATCCACTGGGGTCTTGTCAGCATTTTTTATTAATTAATCTTGTTCTACAATTCCCTATATGTATATAATGTACTCAGTCACTCTCATAGCTCACCCTTCCTTATCCCCTTCCCATCACTACCATACATGCCCCCCACATCCCTTTTCATTTGATGTTGTTGATGTCTTTTGTTTTGTGACACAGAGTTTACCCAAGGCCATCTGAAAGATCAGAGGTATGGCACTATCCAGTAGAGCCTGCTAGGCTCATCAGTGGATATACAACTGAAGATAATAAATTTCCCTCCCCCAAAATCCACCAGTAGCCAATAGTTCATTAAGGATTGGTGGTTGACAGGCACAGTTTTGTGCAGGCCTAGCACAGGCAGTCAGAAGACAGCATCCCACAGCCTTTCTCTCTGTTCTTAAATTCTTTCTGCCCCTTCTTCCATAATGTACCCTGAGCATTAGAGGAGGTGTTATAAGCATCCTATTTAGGACTGAGCACCCAATTATTAAACTTAGGAGGGAATTTACCACTGCCACTTAGTTTAATTGACATGGTATCAAACTACTTTCTAAGCCCTTCATAAATTTGGAGAATTTTGCAAAGCACAGAAATGATTGCTTGGAAATGAAGATGCTTGAAAATTAAGTCACAGGTTAGCACAAATAGGTCCACTACTAGGTATGTATTCAAAGGAAAGGGATTTATTGAAGAGAAATCTATGCTCTCATGTTTATTGCAATACCTTCTGGAAGGGCCAAGACACAGAAACATGCTAGGTACCCATCAACATATGCGCTGGTAAAGAGAATGTTCATGTGTACACTGGGATACTGTTCAGCCAGAAGAAAAAAAATGGAACCCTGCCATTCTTAGCAACATGGGTGAGCCTGAAGGATATTGTGTTATGCTAAATAAGACTAAATAGGTATGTTCTTGCTCATATGTGAAGGTTAGAAAGTCAACCTCATAGGAGGAGAAGACAGTGACTATCAAAGGCAGAAATGGGAGAAGACGGAAATAGGACAGTTAAATGTGCAGTGCGGCTGTTGGACAGGAGGTGTACCTTCTAATGTTCTTTGCACAGTAGGGGTAACAATAGTTGACAACAACT